TTTTGGTACCTGGGATTGAACTCAGGTCTTTGTGCTTGCAAGGCAGGCAGTGGAACAACTGAGATAAATCCCTGGCCCTGCAGTTGATATTTTGATTGGAATTTCATTAAATCTGTATATCATTTTTTGTAATATGGCCATTTTGACAGTATTGGTTGTGTCTTTCCAAGAAGAGGGGATGTCTTCCTATTTTCTAATGTTGTTTATAGTATCTTTTTTCGTAGCCCTGTAGTTTTCATTATGAAGGTCTTTCACTCCTACATATTTCTTAGGTGTTTAATTTTTTGAAACTATTAAGAGTAGGATTATTTTCCTTATTTCTTTCTTGGTGGGTTCATTATTGGTATACAGGAATGCTATTGATTTTTGTGTTTTGTTTCTGTATCCTGCTACCTTGCTGAAATTGTTTATTAATTCTAGGAGTCTTTTGGTAGAATTTTGGGGGTCTTCTATGTAAAGAGTCATGTCATATGTGAATTTCTTATATGTATTCCTTTTATTTAATTTCCCTGGCTAAAGTTTTGAGTACTGTATTGATCAGGAGTGCAGATAGTGGATATCTTTATCTTATTCCTGATTTTACAGAAAAAGCTGAAGCTTTTCCCCATCTAATGCGATGTTGGCAGTAAGTTTATCATAAAGGCCTTTTATCAGATTGAGATTATGTCCTCCTATAGCAATTTTTCAGGGTTTTATCATAAGGGAATGTCGAATTTTGTCAAAGGTTTTTTTTTTCTGTGTTTAGTGATTTTTAAAAATATGTATATATAGTTTGAGTAGGCCTTGAAGTTGCAGAAGTCCTCCCACCTCAGCCTCCTGAGTGCTGGGATTACAGGCAGGTACCACCACACCCAGCTATCTTGTGATGTTTGTCCTTGCTTCTGTTTAGGTGATGCATTATATTTATTGATTTGCATGTGTTGAACCATGCTTGCATCCCTGTGATAAAGCCTACTTGCTTGTGATATATGATTTTTTAAAATGATTTGTTGTATTCTGTTTGCCAATATCTTTTTTTTTTTTTTTTTTTTTTTTTTTTTCCATGAACTCTGGTCCTTGCATTTGTGAGGCAGGTGGTAGAACCACTAAGTTAAATCCCTGGCCCTGTTGGCCACTGTCTTGAGGATTTTTGCATCTGTGTTTATTAAAGAGATTGCTCTGTAGTTGTTGTTGTTTTTTTTTCAGTGGAGTCATTTTTCTGGTTTTG